CAGGTATGGCACAGATACAGATGTCAGAGGCATTTCATCCTCTGGAGCTGGAGTTCCAGGCAGTTGTGAGTATGGGTGCTGGGAACTGAACATGGATCCTCTGCCAGGACAGTGGGCACTCTTAACCACTCAGCCATCTTGGTTTACTGAGCCATCTCTTAAGCCTTGGCAACTTGGTTTTAAGTTTCTAGTTTTGTCGATAAATAAATATAGAAAAGAGGTCAGCTATGGGAGGATTCTGCCCCTTGGATATCCTGGTGGAGATCTCAAATGAGACAGTCTCTTGATTCAACATTGTTGCCATTTTGTTTACTTGGTGTTTTTATTTTTAAATTGCGATGAATCAGCTGGATGGTGGTGGTCCACACCTTTCATCCAGCACTCAGGAGGCAGAAGCAGGTGGATCTCTGAGTTCGAGGCCAGCCTGGTCTACAGAGTGAGTTCCAGGACAGCCAGGGCTACACAGAGAAACCTTATCTCAAAAAAACCAAAATAAATAAATAATAAAATTGGGGTGAATCTATTTTGTGTGTGTGTGATTTTTGGAGACAGGTTTCTCTGTGTAACCACCTTGACTGGCTAGGAACTCACTACTTTAGACCAGGCTGGCCTCGAACTCACACGGATCCATCTGCTTGCCTCTACCTCCCCAGTGCTGGCATTAGTGTGCTCCACCACACCCTGCTGTGATGAACCTATTCTTTTTTTAGAAGAATAAATACTTATTTGTAACAAAGGAGTGTACAGTGTTGAAAATCTACAACTTCTTGTTAAATTCACATTTGCATTTCACCTTTTTAAACAAACATTTATAATCATTATTTTATACAGATATAGATATGTAAAAACAACATCGAGTTCAGTGGTTCTTCGATGAATCTATTCTTAAAAGCACATCAAAATTAGTCTTTTTTTCCACGAACTCCAAATAGCTAACAAGTGGCCATGTGTATGTAGGTGGATGTCAATTTCAACCAACTATTTTTCATACTTCTAGCAAGAGAGCTCCCCGGATGGTGCTGTTTTAGCACCCTCGTGTGGACATAAAGGGTAGTACCAGTTTTCTGTGGTTAAAGTAATGATCCTTTTGAATTGATGCCTAGATAAACACCCCCCCCTCCAGCATCAGGGTTTCTCCATATAACCAGGAGCCTGTCCTGGAACTCCCTCTGTAGACTAGGCTGGCCTCGAACTCACAGAGATCCTCCTGCTTCTACCTCCCAAGTGCTGAGATTAAAGGCATGTGCCACCACCGCCTCGCTAAACTTTTTTTTAAAAAATGTTTTTTTAAAAAAAGAATATACATGCACGTACACACACACACACACACACACACACACACACACACACACACATACACGCCCACACTGGCTTTTTGAGATAGGCTGTTCTAGAGACATACTCCTGGCTGGCACCTGGATCTCACTCTGTAGACCAAGCAGCTCTTGAATGTACAGAAATGGTGCCTCTGGCATGCTGGGATTGCAGGCATGCACCATCCCATGCAGCAAGAATATTGTTTTTGCGAGAAGACTCTCATGTCTGAACGTTTGTGCTAAGTATGTGTGTGCTGTCTTATCACCTTAGTGTCATGACCTCATGAACTACTGCTCTTCCTCTTCACAGATAAGGAGAGGCCTCCAGAGCTGTGCTGGAAGCACAGTGCTTGCTCTACAACCCAGAATCCTTATTTATTTAATTAAATTTATTATTATTATTATTATTATTATTATTATTATTATTATTTTGGTTTTTCAAGACAGGGTTTCTCTGTGTAGCCCTGGCTGTCCTGGAACTCACTCTGTAGACCAGGCAGGTTTGGAACTCAGAGATTCTCCTGCTTCTGCCTCCCTGCTGGGATTAAAGGAGTGTACCACTGTTGTAGAATATTAGTTTAACTATGTAAAGACGTGTGCTTTTGTTTATGCTGCATTTGTTTAATTATGTAAAGATGTGTTGGTGTTTTGCCTTGCCTGCCTAAGGCACCTGATTGGTCAAATAAAAAGCTGAATGGCCAATACCTAGGCAGAGGAGGGATAGGCAGGCCTGGCAGGCAGAGAGAAAAGGGGAGCCAGCCAGCCAGCCATGCAGGAAAGCAGGATGGACGGTACTTAGATGAAGTAAACAAACCTTGGTGCAGCACATGGATTAATAGAAAGGGGTTAATTTAAGTTAAAAAAAAAAGGTTAGCTAGAAACAAGCCTAAGCTAAGGCCAAGCATTCATAATTAATAAGTCTCTGTGTCATGATTTGGGGCCTGGTGGTCCAAGAAAGTGTGCTACACACCACTACAGCCCAGCTCACACACCACCTTTAATGCCAGCACTTAGGAGGCAGAGGCAGGCAGGTCTCTGTGAGATCAGGACCAGCCTGGCCAAAGTAGCAAATTCCAGGACAGCCAGGGCTACATAGGGAGATCCTGTCTCAACAAAACAAAACAACACTGCTTGCTGTATTTTGTATGCCTGTGAGTGGTTTTCCTGCATAGATACCTGTGCACCACCTGCATACAGTGTCTGGAAAAAGATCAGAGAAGGTGTCTGATCCCCTGGGACTGCGGTTACATACAGTTGGGAGCTGTCATGTGGGTGCTGGAAACTGAGGCCAGGTCCTCTGCAAGAGCAGCCTGTGCTCTTAAGTGCGGAACATCTCTCCAGCTCCTAGTCTTTCCTTTTATATTCACTTTCTTCCCCAGGCTCAGATTTTGTAATTTTTGTTTTTTTGAGACAGGGTTTCCCTGTGTAGCTTTGGTGCCTGTCCTGGATCTCACTCTGTAGCCCAGGCTGGCCTCGAACTCACAGAGATCCACCTGGCCCTGCCTCTCGAGTACTGGGATTACAGACGTGCGCCACCACGGCCTGGCAATTTTTTTTATTTATTTATTAATTGCCTTTCCAGTTGTATGAAATATCCAGGGCTGGAGGGATGGCTCAGTGGTTAAGAGCATCTACTGCCCTTACAGGACCAGAGTTTGGTTTCTAGCATCCATGTCCGATGGCTCCCAACTGTCTGTCACACCAGCTCCTGGGGGATCCAACACCTTCTTTTGCCCATGTGGGTACCTGCACTCATGTGCACAAACCACACGTGCATACACACATAATTAAAAATAATAAAAATAAATCTTTAAAAATATATAAAATATTAAGCCAGGAGTTGTGGTACACCTCTGCAGTCCAAATACTGCATAGGCTGAAGCAGGAGAATTGTGAATTTGAGGCTAGCCTAGACTACATAGAAAACTAAGAGCCATTTGTTACCTAGTTAAATTCTGTCTCAAAGGGCTGGAGAGATGGTTCAGTGGTTAAGAGCACCGTCTGCTCTTCCAGAGGACCTGGGTTCAATTCCCAGCACCCACGTGGCAGCTCACAACTGTCTATAATTTCCAGTTTCATGGGATCTGACACCTTCACACTTACATGCAGCCAAAACACGAATGAACATGAAATAAAAATAAATAAATTATTTTTAAAAAATCTACCTCAAAAACCAGAGGATTATATGGCGGTTGCTCAGTGGTGGATCCAGGAGGACATTTTCTAGTTTAACAGGGGCTATAGGATAGATGAGGACGTATATGGCAATATGGGGAGAACACACTTATAACACACTTATACGTGTGTCATTTACAAGCTGAATGACCCTTAAGGCTTAACTTCTCTGGGAAGTAGCAAGGAAGTACCAGAATGTGTATGTGGGGGGCGGGGGGGGGGGGGGGGGGCATGCTGCAAGCATCCCAGCCCGCAGGGAAACTCAGTCCAGCTCCACTTAGTTAGCTGGGCTGGATAAAACTTCTGGAGTCAGTCTAACACCAGATGGTTTACTGTAGTACAGTTTGAAAAAAAGTTTCTTGGTGTAATACAGTCCCTGGTGCACATGGGGACATAATTACATCAACCTCAACTCAGAGTGCATGTTATTTCTTTGAAGAGGATCGGTTCTAGAGATAAACTACATGTATAGCTTAAGGGCTTAGGGAAGGTCTGCCTGGTCATTTGGCCTACAACATACATGTGACATCTCCCCTAAGGATGTCTTCTAAATTGACTGAGATATAAAGATAAAGATCTTTGGAGGGAGAATCTAGGATAAACATTCTGGGGGATTTGGGTGAGATCTGGCTCTACATAGCAAAGTTCACCAGGTCATTAACAACATCCACTCCCTGCCTTCTGGCTGGAAAACAGTTGAAAAGAAACCTCTGCATGCTTAACATTCCTGGTTTCCCTAGTGATCTGTGGGCATAAGGACCTTTGTGCTCCCAACACCAGACAAGTTAAAGGGATAGAATTGAAGCCCCACCCACACCCCCGTTCTCCCCTTCTCTTGTAGCCTCTGGGTGTTTTGTTTTGAGACAGGGTCTAATGTAGCCCAGGCTTTCCCCAAATTTGCTGTGTGGTGAGGCTGCCCTTGAACTTTTGCTCCTCCTGCCTCTACCCCCGCAAGCTATGGTTACAGGTGTGCACCATGATGCCTGGTCCTGCCTTCTCTTAGAAAAACACTGGGTCTGCTTTCTGGGGCAGATATGGGTGGTTGCTTAGACAACATTTATACCCGACCTCTTCCTTCCTCATAGAGGACCAGTTTTCTTTACACATACACTCTGCCTCAGGACGACTTACTGTCTGAGAGAGACAGGTGCAGACCCAGCCCAGGCAGACCCACTGATCGGCTTACGCCAGTTACAGTGATGCCAGTCCTTTAAGCTGGAGTTTGTTTTAGGTGCTGCTAAATGATATCATTTTGAAAAATGAAATAACGAAGGAACTGTTTTGAGAGAGACCCATACTGGAATAGATTCATTTTCCTGGTAATTTGGCACATTGAATTATAACTGGGGTGGCGTTGCCTCCTCTCTGTTCCCTACTGAACTCATATTGTTGCCGCGTATATGTATCCTAAAATTGTTCTCTAAATTACGAATGGCTAAAACATGATGAAGGGCACAGGTCACCGCCCCCTCTTCCACGTCGTCAACTGAGTCGTTTCTGTCCTTCCAGAATCCCCTATTTTGAAACGAGCGCTGCCACGGGAACGAACATCAGCCAAGCGATTGAGATGCTCCTGGACCTGATAATGAAGCGGATGGAGCGGTGTGTGGACAAGTCCTGGATTCCAGAGGGCGTGGTGCGGTCCAATGGCCACACTTCTGCGGATCCGCTGAGTGAGGAGAAGGAGAAGGGGATATGCGGCTGTTGAGACACCAGGTGAGCATCGCAGCCCCCGGCCTGTGAGCCGTTCCGCAGAGATCCAGCCGGAAAGCCGAGATGAACCACACCGCACCAAACGCCAGCTGCTTCTCCTGTCTCCAGTGGACATTAACTCAGCATCCATTTCTAAGTTGTTGCAGCTTTATAGATCCAAGAATTGGGAGAACTATTTCACAGAGCCAAAAGTGCCTTGAAAGCCTAAGCCCACCATGGCAGGCCATTCAGGTAGTCAAGATTTTGCAGCCATGAAAGGTTGCGTCTGTTATGTTAGAGTGCTGATGATGGCACTGTCACGTGTGCCCCCTAATGAGACCTGGAGTCTCATTAGAGTCCCCCTAAAGACATTAGGATCTTTGAGCAATGAAAGGCTATCATGGTCTTGAGAATCCAGGTTTAAAAATCCACACCATAGTTGACCTTCTAGGACATCACTCACCAACACTTGAATGTTAATATCATGTACACATTGGATCGCTGTCATCCAGCATCACCTCTCATGTCGGCCTTCCCTTGGACGTTACGTTAAAAGTACAGCCATCTCTATAGACTGGGGATGCTGGGTTGACTGTGGGTTTGGTGGTGGGGGAAGGGTTTGTAGGGCAGGGGTGGGTAAAGAGGTGGAAGCTAGTGAAGTCGGTTTTCTGGCTCTGGGCTTCAGGGTCACGGAGACCCAGGTGTTTATTAGTGGTCTGTTGGTTCGGTCCACAGCTGAGCATAGCTCGGGCTTCTGCTTGAATGCACGGTGAGAAAAGACTTCTCTTGCTTCTCTTCATATTTGTGTTTTGTCTGGCACTTTCGAGCTGCCGTTCCTGTGTAGACTGCTGAGCATGTGACTTTACCATCAGGCTGGCGTCCGTCGATGCTCTCTCCCTGTTTGTCTTCTCCCCCGTTAGTGTGACTGAAGGACTCTCTTTTTAATTAAGCCACAGGTTTATTTGCCGTCTGGAGGGAGATGGATGTCTGTATCTAAGCAGTCACATGTGTGTGCTCGTTTAAGCCTGGTGTCTCGCAGCAGCCTGAACTTCCCCTGGAAGGTGGGCATCCGTGTCCTATCCGTGTCCTCGCTGTGTCTTGCCAGATCATGTGTTCTGTCGCCTCAGTGTCTTCATGCCCAAAGAGGGTGGTTCAAAATGTTTGTTCTTCATAGATTCTACTTCTTCAGACCCAAGGGATCTCATTCACAGCAAAAGGCTTTTAAAGAAAGTAAGCCAGAATTGCCAAAGAACTTCACCAAGGAAAAATATCACCAATTATAATTGTAAAAAGTAAAAACTGTGGGTTTTGGGTTGTTTTTTTTTTTTTTTGACAGTGAATGCTTGGCAGAACTTGTAATACTTGTAATTACTAAAAGAAATATAAAGGACGGGCGGCGGTGGCGCACTCCTTTAATCCCAGCACTCGGGAGGCAGAGCCAGGCTACCTGTGAGTTCGAGGCCAGCCTGGGCTACCAAGTGAGTTCCAGGAGAGGTGCAAAGCTACACAGAGAAACCCTGTCTCGAAAAACCAAAAAAAAAAAAAAGAAAAGAAAAGAAAAGAAAAGGAAAATAAGTAGTTTGCATAGTAGTTTTCAAGTGGCCTTTTTTTTTTTTTTTTTTTTTTTTTTTGGAGACAGGGTCTCACTATGTAGCCCTGGCTGTCCTGGAACTCCCTCTGTAGACCAGGCTGACCTCAGACTCAGAGAGATCCACCTGATTAAAGGTGAAGCCATTACACCCAGCCCTTAAAAGGCTTTTTGAAATTCAACATCCTATATTGCCATTGTCCTTCGAGCCCCTCCCCAGCAAATTAGCCATGGCTACTAAGTCTTTTCTGTCACTGAAATGAGGGATGCTCTGAAACACCAAGGTTGTCCTTAAGGCTTTTGCATCTGGATCCCGTGTGTCTGAAACCTATCCTATCTTTCAAGGGGGGCGGGGCATGCACAGCAGGGCCTTCCAAAGTTGCTCTAAGACTTGGGTGCGGTTTATCACATATCAGACATACAAATGTCTCTTTTGTAAATAAAAATAAGTTAATGTTTGCATAGTGCTGCTTTCGGGAACTAGATCCATGGTTAGATTCAGGTCTTGTTGGCTCCAAACCTGGCATAGGGTTAAATGTGTGTGATAGATACCCACACAAAAACTGCCTTGATCTGTGGAAAAAGTAACCTATATTCTCATTGGAAATGGTTTAAATTTGATATAAAATAACCATATTTTTGTCAATGTATTTTTCTAATTGCAAATCTGTATAAAAGTAAATGCTCTTTAGTGAACTTTGTGCCAATTAAACCATAATAAAAAAAAAAAAAGAGGTGCAGTCTATCAGGTTTGTGTGAACATTTCAAACTACGAACTGTAAGCCGAAGGAACCCAAACTCAGGAATGCAGAGTCCATGAGACGCCCATTGAGGGGCCCAGTCAAAACAACATCTTGGGAACATAGTTCGAAATGTTTTTGGGGGCAATTTTATTCATTTATTTCATGTGTGTGAATGTTTGCTTAAATGTCTGTGTACCACGTGTATGCAGTGTCCAGCTCTGATCCTGGGCTTTGTCCTGGCTCGTGCCTCATGACCTTTCCGCACGGTAACCAGCACCACTTTTATTTTTAAAACAACAGTGACTCCTTTGTGCGGGTTTTTAAAATACAACAATCCTAGCCAGAGGGAGGCTGAGATGGGAACATGAACTCTAGCTTAGGGCCTTTGAGCTGCTTCAGTGGGTGAAGGTACTTGCTGCCAGGCCAGAAGATCTGAGTTTGGTCCTGGGACCCACATAGTGAAAGGAGAGAACCCCTGTTAATCCCAACAGCAAGAATAAGACCCACCACTTCAACTTGAAGCAAGCTTGATTTTTTTTTCCTTTGGGGGTGCACCCAACAGCTGGCCAGCGGCTGCCTTCTAAGTCAGGTTAAAGAGAGCAGCCTGAATCCATCTCTCAGGCCATAAGGAGTAAAATGAGTAGCTTTATAGAAGGGAGACAATGGAGCAATAAGGAAATAAAAAAACTCTTTAAAAAAACATATGGTCAGGGTTGGGGATTTAGCTCAGTGGTAGAGAGCTTGCCTAGCAAGCTCAAGGCCCTGGGTTTGGTCCTCCGCTCGCTCAGGAAAAACAAAACAAAACAAAACAAAACAGGCCAGGCGGTGGTGGAACACGCCTTTAATCCCAGCACTGGGAGTCAGAGGCAGGTGGATCTCTGTGAGTTCGAGGCCAGCCTGGTCTACAAAGTGAGTTCCAGGAAAAGCGCAAAGCTACACAGTGAAACTCTGTCTCAAAAAATCAAAAAAACAAAACAAAAAAACATATGGTCACTGTTAATATTCTGACCTGCCCCCTTGAAATCTCCTGCCCCTTAGGTCTGCCTACATTCTGATGCTTTCTAATGTAAAAGCCTCTTTTTAAGGAAGGACTTCGCCCTCCCCCCCCTTTTCCTATCTTTCTCTTCATCTCTCTACTATAATAAACTCTCCACGTGGATATAGCCGGCTGCGTTGCAAATCACTGGCCACTGCCATGTGCATCTGCCCATCATGCCAGCATGGTTCCCTGCACGAGTGGGATACCCTGGCCAGGCCAGCTGGGGGTTTCCCACGCATGAGTAATTCATCACAGTCACCACGTGATTAGAGAGGGTCAGGGTATTCTCAAAAAACAAATCAAGGCCATGGGTTGGGGAAGGTCAGGTTCCAGGAAACAGAGAGCAACTTAACTCACAGTAAATAGAAACTTATCTTTAAAAATATAGCATGCGCCTGGCAGTGGTGCACGCCTTTAACCCCAGCACTCAGGAGGCATATCTCTGTGAGTTCGAGGCCAGCCTGGTCTACAAAACGAGTTCCAGGAAAGGCACAAAGCTACACAGAGAAACCCTGTCTCAAAAAACCAAAAAAAAAAAACAACCAAAAACCAAAAAACAAAAACCAAAAAAACAAAAAAAAAATAGAGATAGCCAAGCATGGTGGTTAGTGTCTATAATCCCAAGCACTTGGGAGGTTGAGGTAAGAGAATCAAGAGTTCAAAGTCATCTTTTTTATTTTGGTTTTTCGAGACAGGGTTTCTCTGTGTAGCTTTGGAGCCTGTCCTGGAACTCACTCTGTAGACCAGGCTGGCCTTGAACTCACAGAGATCTGCCTGGCTCTGCCTCCCAAGTGCTGGGATTAAAGGTGTGAGCTACCACCACCCGGTTTAATAACAATCTTTTGTCTGCATGCTGTGTGCGGTCCCCTTCTATCTCCCATGATGATGGGTGGGGCTTCTAAGACCTGCCCTGGGGCCAAACCCGATCAAGGTTTGGTTCCAAGAGAGGAATGGAATGTCACTGCCTATGGTTGCTAAGCTACCGTGGCTATGTTATAAGGCTAACCAAGGGGTTTCTTGTCTGTGGTACAGTGCTGATGCAAACTTAGTTATTCTTGTAATGGTATATGCATGTATTTCTGTTCTTGTTGAAAATATTGTAGCTCTACAGTATATTCCAAGCTACTGAGGGAAATCACAAGAAAGACTTTGGAAGAGTTTCTATGTTAAAAAAAAAGAAATTTACCCAGCGGTGGTGGCTGTACGCCTTTAATCCCAGCACTCATGAGGCAGAGCCAGGCAGATCTCTGTGAGTTCAAGGCCAGCCTGGTCTACAGAGTGAGATCCAGGACAGGCTCCAAAGCTACACAGAGAAACCCTGTCTCGAAAAACTAAATAAATAAATAAATAAATACAAATAAAAAGAGAAATTTATCTGAAATAAATGTCTGGACAGACTGAGGGTACATGAGAGGTTATAGAAGGTCAGAAGGGGTCTTATGGGAAGTTGCAGAAAGTCAGAGGGGATGTGAACTAATTCTGGTTGGTTTTCATTTTAAAAATAGCTGATTCTGCAAGCTGCTTATGTATGTGTATGTATATAAACATACATGTATGTGACTTGGGTTTAACTATGAGTGTAAGCTAGCTTTAACTGCATGTATATGTATGTAACTTGGATCCAACTGTGCATATGTGTAAGTAATTATTGTTTAGAAAAACATGCTTTAGCCGGGCGGTGGTGGCGCACGCCTTTAATCCCAGCACTCGGGAGGCAGAGCCAGGCGGATCTCTGTGAGTTCGAGGCCAACCTGGGCTACCGAGTGAGTTCCAGGAAAGGCACAAAGCTACACAGAGAAACCCTGTCTCGAAAAACCAAAAAAAAAAAAAAAAAGAAAAAAAAAAAAAGAAAAACATGCTTTAAATGTCAACCACGTGGCTTTGCTCCATCTTGGCTGGTGACCTCATGGGCAGTCACATGGCTGGCAGCCATCTTTCACTAAGGTTATAAAAATCTATTCACGTTAACAAAAGCTAACTTAAGAGATTTACACTTAATACTTATGTCTTTACCAAGTATTCAACAGCAAACTTCTAGAGATTTTAAATAGATGGCTACATAAGTTTAAAAAACACGGTATTTGATAAATAATAAAGCTGCTTCTCAATGCTTGTTCTGGCAGCTAAACTTTGTAATTCAAGATGTTGTCTAGTCTCCTCGCCTTTGCTAAATTTGTTAAATTTAAGCTATTTATATAAACTGAATCATATATATATTTTATATTAATATTTTATTTTGGCTTCTTTACTGAACCCGTACTTGATACCAAAAGAGTTTCAATTTAAAATCATTGTTTTTAAGGATGCTTATTGGAGACTGTTAGAGAACATAAATAAATAGTCAACTATAAATAACCAAGTTCTTTAATTGTAGTCATGCTAAATACTGATGTAATTAATTACAGGGATAAGCTTTACTCAGTCCCTTGCATATATTTTCAGGGTTGAGCTTAAAATAAGTAACTCTAAACAAAGTTTGTCTATTCAGATGTACCTGGAAGCCCTCATACTTCAGAGATCTGCAGAATATGGCATTTAAATGTCGATCTAAAAGTTTATTATATCAGACAGACTTCCAGATCCTAGCAGTGACCCAAGGTCTCCAAAGAAGATTATGTATGAGGCACCACAATGTCACTGCCTGGATTATGACAACGCTGACCACAGGGCAAGATGCCCCAATGCAACGCCTGCTACCAGGACCCAGCCCAGACTGTGGACAAACAGCAGGGCACTGGAATTGATTGGACCCTTTTGCCTGAACAAATCAAGATCAGCCTTCCTTGTCCCTATTTTACAAGAAAAAAATCCTCTGCCTTATGGGCCTGATGGTGGAAGAAGATTGATGCTGTTCTGACTGGTGCTTCCAATGCCATGGAGACCTGGGTATGGACTAGTCCCTGTCATTTATAGGATTGGAAGCTGCTTGGTCTGCACTTAGATATAGTTTATCCTTCTCAGATCACTCATAGTACTGATGGCTTGGCTAGCTATAACTTTGTCAGCTTGACAGCATCAGACAACCAGATCTATATAGCTAGCTTGTTAGCTAATTTTTAAGAGAATGTTCTAAGATATAAAAATTTAAGCCGGGTGGTGGTGCACGCCTGTAATCCCAGCACTTGGGAGGCAGAGGCAGGCGGATCTCTGTGAGTTCGAGACCAGCCTGGTCTACAGAGCTAGTCC